GATGGTGGACCCCTCAAAAATGCATTCACCCAAGTTGCTTCTCCATAACTAGCCCAAACGCCAACAAAAAAAAGAGATCTCTAAAGCTGCGGAACCATAACCTTGATGCAGCTTTCAAGACAAGCACAGGACCACGAATTTGCCACAAAACGGATCAAACCGCGAAGCCTATGTGGAATGGCTGCCCGACCGCCGAAGCCTTCAAATATTTCAAAGCCAACTTTGTCAGTTACTCAGTTGGCAACAACCTTAGCAGAAATTCGAGAGCCCGGTGGTCCTCTTCTGACTCAAGTGGGCTAGGATGCTAGGCGGGTCCTAGCCTCTGATGTCTGCCATGGAAGCGGTAGGCGCCATCCACGACAATGCAAGGTGTCGGGCCTTCGATGCCCTGAGCAAGGCAAAAAGAGGTGCCTCTTTGAAGGTGCCAGACCTAAACATTTTGAAGTGACAACAAGAAGCAGGTCTTGGTGCCGTAGCACAGACCACAAACTCAGCCCATACTCTCTGGGCATGCTTCATGCTACCTGCCAAATGCCTCGATCTCGAAGCTGGAGGTCGTGTTGAAGAGCTGTGAGTTCTGCACGAGGGTTCGCGATTCTTGTCTCTGATACTGTTTGATGTATTCTCGCAGCATTGGGGCATTGGGTAGGAGCCTCTGCTCTAGGTTCGGCTCACAGGACGACATGGCCTCTATGCTGGCGTAGAGATCAAAAAGCAATGTATGTCAGCAGCTTTGGCATGCTATGCATCTCTGACAGCCCGGGGACACCGAACACAAGCCTCCAGCTCCGGAAACCGGCCGAGAACCAGGACCTCCCATGTGGCTGAGACCATGGTGCCCTTCACTTCTCACAAGTCTGCCGCATGGCTTCACCAAAAGCACAAACCAAACTGGGAGTGGAAGGATGCTCCACAATTTGTTGCCACCACTACTGTATTGACTATTGGAAGCAGTGACGCAAGCCTCTGCACCAGGTGGCAGATCGGCCCAGCTTGCCATGTTTTCCCACGCATGGGGGGGCACAGCAGATCGTCATGAAAACAAAGCATCTGAATCTACACCTCTTCTTTGTGGTGTGTCTATCACTGGTTATGACCGGCCAATGACCCGCAAGTAGAGTCACGCAAGTGAATCTCTTGCGCTGAAGGTGGGTCCCAGGTGTCTTAAGGGCACGGTGGTCAGGCACTGCCAGGTCCAACCGCTACGGTATAGGTTGTCAAGCTGAGCCATTTGTGAAGACAGCGTCGGGAATAAGGATGGGCAAGGCATCCCAAGCTCAGAGTCAGTACAGTCAGTAGCTGTGTTCACCAGTGTTGCTTCTGTGTTGCTTCACTTTGCTCCGCCGACTCCGGACTCGCAATTGAAATGCCTTTTGACTCTCGCAAGCATCACTGTAACTGAGGTTCAAATGCCAACAGGGTGCGAACTGTGCCATGAGACGTGAGGGCCTCAGTCCCGGCTACAGTTCGTATTCCCGGCTGCAAAAACAGTGTTTGCATGTCACTCTGCTTTGTCTTGCTTCTGGTCATCTGCACTCACTGACCTAAACTTAGCACCACGATGTTGCAAAACTTTTGCGACAAAGGCCAGCCATCTTCCTCAGTGCGAGACCTGCTGAAGCACGGAGCCACGAGCGACCCTTTGCAGACTGGAGCACACGCAACCTGTGCCATGTCGCGTTTAAGCGCTGACTAGAAGTCTGTGAGTTGCGGGCTTTGCGTTGTCTTGACGGATTTGTATTCCTCACGTAGCTTTGATGTACTTGGGCTTATCACGTGCAATTTCCAAAACCTGTCTCGTTCATACAAAGGCTATCATAACCGTGATCACAATCTGAGAAGCAGGCCTTTAGGCAATCGGACTTGCATGGCTGACATGGGCTCCTCTGGTTCTTCGCCGCCGCGGGCGTCGCCAGGAAAGGCCTCTGTCCCGGACCAAACCAGGACGTGCGCCCAGGCGCTGGCGGGCAAACTTTGGCCCAAGCGCAGCTCGAGGAAGAGGGCGCACTCAACACCGCCCTGCCTAGTCATCAGCGGCTGCACAGACACCTCCAAATGAAGCGCACGCACTCCCAGGAAGGACTGGAAAGTGCCTTCGTACTGATTTGATTTGGCCGGCGGAGGCGGTGGGCTCCATGCATTTGCAGTGCTCAAAACCTTTTGGACCTCTGCCGGCTGGAATGCAAACTCTAACAAGTGAACCCGAAGCCCTTGGCAGGATTGTAAAAAGCCATCCGTGATCTTCTCTAGTCGCGAGGCCCCATCCAAACCATGAATAGGCCAAAGCCAGTTGGCAGGCGATGTGACTGCATGAAGCTTTCCGTAGAAGCGCTTGAGGCGGCGATGGATCTCTGCCGACAGCAAGAAGCTACCTTGACACAGCTGAAGGAAAGTTCCGTTGGCAATATTATTTCTCCAGACTTGTCTTCTTCTTCTTCTTCTTCTTTCTTACGTGTGGGCGATGGTACATAGCTGGAAGGTCCGTAAAACTTCTCCCTCCTTCTGCCTGCTACTTCCCTCATTCCTCCCTAGCTCTGCACTAAATTGAAACTAAACCCGTCCGAAGCAAGCAGCTGCCGCTCTCGATTACGCAAAGACCACGCTGGACGGCTGCTCGCCGCCACGGTGCTTCCTTGCCGCCGTTTAGGGATAGGGTATGTGTACTACGATGCGTTCAGGGTGCCGTTGCATCGGCTTCAACTCAAAATGGACCCCAGGCTTTGGGGAATATCTCAGCAAGTAGTCTCAAGTCTTACATCTTGCAAGGTAGTGGCAACAGCCTATGTTTTCCCTACGCTGCCTCTGGATTGGCCGAGGTTGCATGGAAGGCATCTTGGACGGACCGAGCGCACGCTTCCAAACGGCAAAGGCCGGAAGCATCCAAAAACGCAGCTGTGCGGCTCAGAAACCCAATCTCAAAGGCCAGCGCCAGGGAAGGGATGAAATCAGACAGCTTGCTGGCCGCATCACTTGCAGGTCCTTCAGCAAACAGCCAAGTACCAAATGCTTTGGTCCAGAAGCAGCCGACACCAAAGGACAGCACATTCGTGCATGACTATTACAAGAAGCCTCACCACGGTCCCTCCACCAAAGTTTCTGAGATGCAGCCTTAAAGTTAGAAATGTTGAAAACTTGCAGTAAACCCCGAACGCAGCATCCAAGCATTCCATCTATTCTGGGCTTGTTAGCAGCACTTTTGATCACCACTTTGCACTCAAAGTGGCCAGCAGTCTCTGCAGCACCCGGACCAGAAATCATGTCAGCAAGGGTGGCAGCGGCATGTTGAAGGTGATAAGAATTCTCCTGCTTGGTGGGTGCAACAAATCAGACACCTTTGAAATTTGTCCCCTGATGCTGGTGTGAAATCTTCTTGGTCCAAAGCAGCGGGCTGCAGTAAAGGGCATCCAACTCGTCACGTTCTGTTGCTCACTTGCCACCAACTTCTGCAATTCTGCCGATTCGAAGCCTGCCCTCTTTTCAGCGTGAACGAAACTTCGGCACGTCTGTTAAGGATATGGCTACGTCAGTTGAAATGCAAGCTGCCCAAACTTGTCACCCACCAATCTGCAAGCCTGTACCCCCCATATCACGAGCGGCGTGAAACATGGCCAGCGGCTCACAGCCTCGTCAAACCTGCAAACTGCCATGTCGGCAGTGCTTCGCTCATGCCAAGACAAACCCAGAAGTGAGCAGTGAAGTTTTCCGTATGATTCAGATATGGATTTCGGAAAAAGGTCAATCAGTCTGCGGACGTTGTTTCTTCTGTGGACAAACTCGGGCGAAAACCATACAGCTTCACATCCCTTCTCAAAAATCCAAAATATGGACTGTACCATCTACAGCCCACCCCTGAGCGGGCGACCCTTGTTGCATCCGGCGGGGAGCCGGTTAGGATTGATTCCAACAATGGCCGGGATCTGCCCTGCATCCTCCTTGACTACTCATACTACTCTGCGCAGAACACATAGCAAGAATTGAAAATGGAAGTTTTCGCGGCGTTGCGCTGGAGGCCTCTCTCACAGGTCTGGTGGTGAACGTCGTGGAATTTCAGTTGAAATTTCTACACTTCGCCGCACCACTTTGCCGCAACAGCATTTCCAGATGTTTCCAGCGTCTCGGCGAAATCCGGACGCAAGTATTTTTCGGTGTGATGTCCACTGCCCTCAAGCTCTTGTACAACTCTATTATTCACAATGGCAGCAGCTGTTTACAAACTCATGTGTCAAACAGCAAAATACAAATTTTAAAAAAGAAAAAGCAAACAGCAAATTCACACCAAGTTCATTCTGCAACCGGTTGGCCATAACTTCGCGTATATGTTTGAACCAATGAGCGCAGACGTGAGCTTGGAGGACAGCCTAAAACAGCAGTGGCCCATTTTTTGCCCTAGACTTGCCTGGCTGGCTGCAGAGTTCAGGCATTTGCGTGCAGAACCCATACTTGCAAACAGTGATGCGGATGCACAAAAGCTGACGTCGTCGTCGTCGTCGTCGACATATAGCGAGGTGTAATTGTCTTGAACAAAGGGGGTCATTTGACTAGGCCTCGACGTTCAGTGTCCGTGACCACACGTCGTTGTCGACTCGCTTCAAGAGCGCCTGCACAAGACATCGGATAGTGGAAGGGTACCAGGGGTACGACGCATGACCCCATGCTGAAGGGACATAAAACCGTAGAGGATCTAACAGGCAACCCTTGGAATCTTTGTCCTTGCCTTCAGCTCTTTGGAGGGTCCGCACTCGAAAAGGTCTTCAATGGCGGTTCGGCCGATGGCTTCCACGCAATCCTGGAGGCATGGGCGCAACAAAGTATTCGGCTGTAGCTGATGGTATGGTCTTTGGCGAAGACGTTTCAGTTTATGGAAGTCAGCCCAAACTCACCCTCTATGATCTCCCGCAAGCAAATGCAAGGAAACTTGGTGAATTTGACTCATGATAATCACGCCGAGTAAAATATTGAAACTCGCATGTGACACGCAACATCAAATATGTCCCTAACGCAGCACAAAATCACTAGAGACATGCTGAACCCCATCGCAACACAAGTCCAAAGGTCCCTCAAAAAAGTAGCCATCATTAGCCATCCAAATCCTACGAGCGTTGGGCGAAACTCACGCTTCCCCATGCTCAGGCGAAGCTACGCCGGGAACTCTGAAACACCGTGTTCAAGTGCTTTCCAGAGCAGGCTTTGCAACAACGAAAAACGTTGCATTGCCTGTGACAGGTCAGTGAGAAGGACCGCATACACCTCATTTGCATGTTGTTTATGACCGCCGATCACTGGTGGCACGCCGCAATGTTGGCATGCTTTAGCCCGCAGCCAGCGGCAACTCTTCGCATCCGGAGTCGTGACTGATTCACAATGCCAAGCCCCAGAGCAATTGTAATCAGCCCCATGGAAATGAACCCCCTTGGCTTCGGCTCCATGTGATAACACGCGGCTTTGCAGGTGTGATGGGGCTGTAAACGATACCCCAAACCTTACATACAACCCGCCAGCCCAGTCGTCTGAAACCCTACATGAGTGGGCATCAAAACCATGCTTTCCCTAGCCGTCAAGAATGGAAAAACATCAGATTCTCAAACAAGAAACGGCGTCTGGCATGTAGCTTGCTGGTCGTTCGGACCAGTAACAACCATTATCTGATTTGTTTACTCCTGCGAATTAGCAGGGGCATGCTGCATTTTCAAGCATGAAACTAAGTTACGCTATTACCTGTTAAATGCCATGGCAGGTTTCCGAAGAACCCAAATCGGGGTGCGGCATCTGAGTTGTTGACGCAATGGACCAATGGACCAAAAACAAATGATGTCACGTAGATTTCATGCGAATCACCGGGCATGTTGAGGCATCATGATGCAGTAAGTGGCGCCAAGAACGAGGACATGTCATGCACAAGCGCTTTCTCAAGCAGGTTTTGCATCAACTGCAAACAACGCAAATGGCGAGGAACTTGTCGCACTTTGAGGACTCAAATTGAGTCAAGCCAGGACCGTCAGGAACCCTGCATGTGCATCAACCAAAAGCAGCGTGTGGCATCTGGCCCGTCAGCGAAATGTACCAAAAACACCGCACTTCATATGGGTTAATTTGGGTCCATTCCATGGCTGCGCGTGGCACGAGGTCCACGAACGCGCAAGCAACTCAGGACTGCCAAGACCATGAATTCCCCAAACGCTCCGCGCGAGCGCGTTTCTCAAGAAGGCATTTGCCAGGTTTGCTCTGAAAGCAAGCACCCACAGCACAAGCACACTGCTTGAGGAAACTTTGCTGTCTTGTGGTCTTTCTCATCTTCAATATTGGATTTAGCCGAGGCAAATCATCAACATGATTTCTAGCTTCTAGCGTCCATATTCCGCAAGCAAACGCATGAAGGGCAGCTTTCTAAACACGATCCTTCAAGTACTGTATGTCGCCTGTCACAAAAACAAGGGGTGTATCGTTTGCTTTTCGTGTAGTGCTCGGCTTTTCACGGAATCTTGCTTCAGCGGGTCCTTCCACCTGACCGGCAGCGTCAGCTCTTCACCTGAAGGTATGGCAGCAACAAAACCTCAAGCATATTAACAACGAGGATAACCCACGTGGCTGATCCCTGACACGAGCAGACTTTGTGATAGTCGGAGAATGCACCCACATGGGCTGGCAAGCAAGTAGGCGCTTCTGCTCATGGACGGACCCTTCACAAATCACAGCTGCTCATCCAAGGGCAAGCATGCTTCCATGCCGAGATGCGGCAGCGTCTGTGGTTTCATCCAAGCCCATCCCCAAGCAACTCGTAGGGCGCTGGCTTAGGAGTTCCAGCAGGACCCCGGGGGCCGTGTTCCAGTCCACCGGCCTGTAGATATGCGGCGGAAATCTCTCCAACGAATCGATGCATTACCCTTAGGGCCCTTCGCGCCAGCATAGGCAAGTCCTATTGCATAACCTCACGGCAAAGCTCCTGCAGGCCTTGTCCCCGACCTGCTGGACAAGAAAACTGTGCATCGGGGCCTGGACCTGGGAAGGAGCTCGTCAGTTCCACAGCTCTGGGTGGTATTTCCAAACAAATGCGCTATGTGTTCCGTTTTAGAATAGCTTTCGAGGCGTGTGCCAGTCATTCTTCTCAAGTTCTTTTTACCTGCCAGCTAGACCAGCATCTTGTTGGCCGTAAAGCACTGTTCTAGGCGAGCGAGCACCCCTCAGAAGCAGTACCTGTATTTACAAATACAACACTTAAATCTATTGAGGCCGCACGGCCGCTTTGCGAGGCGCAAAGGCTCTGATTCGGAATTCTGAGCAACCTCCAGCGACAAAAAGGGCCCTTTCGGCATCTCTAGGCATCCTTAGGCTCTTTTGCAGTATCCCCACCAGGTGCCCTCGCATGAGCGGGATTCCACCGTTAGGGTCGTTATCTGGGTTGCCGCAGTGGCCTGACACGTGCACTCCCTGGTAACTCCAACCCTGCTTGCACAAGCATCCCGTCATGGTGTA